GGCCTCTGTGTCTCCCTCTCTCTCTGACCCTCCCCTGCTCATGCTGTCTCTCTCTCTCTCTCAAAAATGAGTAAAACATTAATTTTTTTTTTAAAAAAGAAGTGCAAAGTTCAAGGTTTCACCATTCCTGATTCCAAAACTTACTACAAAGCTACAGAAACCAACACAGTATGGTATAAGGTTAGATGTAGAGACCAATGAAAGACAAGAAGCCCAGAAGTAACCCCTTGCCCACATGGTCAAATGATTTTGACAAGGGCACCATGATCGCTCAGTGAGGAAAGGACAGTGCTTTCAACAAACAGTACTGGGAAAACTCCGTGTCCACATGCAAAAGCATGACATTGGCCCTTATCCCAATGCAAAAATTAACTCAAAATGGATCAAAAGCCTAAACCTATAAAAATCTTGGAAGGAAACACAGGATGAAATCTTCATGACATTGATTTGGCAGTGGTTTTTTTTTTTTGTTTTTTTTGGATGTGACATCAGAATGCAAGGGCAACAAAAGAAAATAGAGGAACCTGATTTCCCCAATATTACAACTGACCGTGTGTCAGAGGACATGGTCATGGAGTGCAAGGACAACCGACAACATGACAGAACATTTGCAAATCATCAATCTGACAAGAGATTAGTACCCAGAATATATAAAGAACTCCCATAACTCAACAACAAGAAAACCCAGCCCAAATAAAAAATAAGGAAGGGCTCAAATAGACATTTATCCAGAGAAGATATACAGATAGCCAATAAGCTCATGAGAAGACCCCTAACATCATGTCATTAGGGAAATGCAGATCAAAACCGTAGTGATCACAGTTTCAATGGAACCAAATTGTTGCTAAAAACTAGCATAATGAATTGAGAAATCAATCAAAATAATTTTTACTTAAAAAAAACCCACCCAGAATGAGATATCATTTCACCCACATTAGGACAGCTATAATCAAAACATACACACACACACACACACACACACAGAAGATAACAAGTGTTGGTGAGGATGTGGAGAAATTGGAACACTTGTGCATGTTGGTGGGAATATAAAATGGTGCAGCAGCTGTGGAAAAAAGCATCGTTCTTAAAAATGTTAAAAATAGAATTACCATATGATTCACCAATCCCACTTCTGGGTATACACACAAAAGAAGTAAAAGCAGGGACACGAAAAGATATTTGCACACCCACATCATAACATTATTCACAAGAGCCAAAAGGTGGGAACAACCCAAGTGTCCTTCAACAAAGAATGGAGAAACCAAACGTGGATTATAAACGCAATGAAATAATAGTCTTAAAAAGGAAGGAAATTCTGTCACATGTTACAACATGGATGAACCTCGAAGACATGATGCCAGGTGAAGTCAGCCAGTCACAAGAAGTCAAATACTGTAGGATTCCACTTATCCGAGGTCCCTACAGTGGTCAAGATCACAGAGACAGGAAGTAGCTGGTGGGTGCCGGGGCTGGAGGGGTGGTGATGGAGGGGGTGTTTACTGGGGGGGACAATGAAAAAATTGGTGGAGGTGCATGATGGTGATGGCTGCAAACAGTGAACGGACTTCATGCCACAGAACTGTACACTCACAAATGGTCAAAATGGTACGTTTTATCTTGTGTATGTTGCCACAATTAAAAGAAAAGCCTGCACTAGCATTCAGTATACTTTGTCGAGAGAGAGTGAATCAGCATGTCCCAGAACATGCTGTTTTTCCACTGGGCAATAAGGAGAATAACACGTGTCCCATGCTTGGTGCGGGCACATGCTGTGGCTGCGCAGGGAGCAGGGTGGGGGTGCCTGCTGCCGTGGAACCCACCCTCTCATCCCAGCAGCATGCCTGGCCACTCGGTGGGTGGTGGTCCTGATGCTTACACGGACTCCGGACACGGACTCCGGAGTGGGGTGGACTTGGGCATGGAGGCAAAGCAGACCATGCGGGAGGATCAGAGCGCGTGGGTGGGCACCCGGGGGGGTGGGGGGGAGAGGAAGGACACTTCATCTCAAGGCCGATCCTTGCTTCCTGGGGCCTTGAGTCCAGCCCTGTGTGCTCCCCCTCCCTGTGTGACCTGTCCCGCTCCAGGCCTGTGTCCCCAGGGCACTTTGGGGTGTCTGACACTGTCTCCCTTGACAGCCACAGGAGCTGCACAGGACGTGGGACTGCTACCACACTGCGAACACAGTAGGCGCTCAATGCACCTCTAAGTAAACGAGTGAGGAGGACTCAGAGGAAGCATTTAGGACCCATGTGGACTCTTACTTTCATCTGCAGTCGGCCTGTGGTGTTGAAACAGCCTTGGGTAACAGGAAAGCATCTCTGCGGACATACACAGAGACCAGGAGGGGCAGGATGGCCAGGCGCCTGGGGGAGTCTGGGCCCCCAGCCCACTCCTTCCCCTCGCTGGCCAGCGGCCCCCTCCGGGAGGCGTTTCACTGCTTCCAGCCTCAGTTTGCTGGAGAACGGCAGGAGTCCCCTGCCCCGGGACTCCCGCCGGTCCTGTATACCTGTCGGTGGAGCGGCAGCGCCGAGGTGTCCGTGTGAGCGCTGGGCATGGAGCCATCACTGTCCAGGGCTGATGCTGAGTGCGTCCCAGGCACTGCCGGGGCCTGTGGGGAACCAAGCACAGGGCATGGCACCTGGTCAGTGCCTGACACACTGGCAACTACTGTCCTTGCTTGCAGACAAGGACGCGAAGTGTTGGGTGAGGGCTGCCCAGGTGCGGCAGCCCGCCCTCCACCTCAGTGGCCTCCAGAAGTTTCTGGCCGCACTGGACCACAAATGGGTGGAGGTGGACCCTGCAGGTTTGAGCGTCCCAGTACTGCTGTAGGGGACGGTCACTCAGCGGGGCCCAGGCCGGCTGGACTTGCAGGCCGCGCACTGCTCATCTGCACTGACCCACACCGGGGTGTTCGTGGGGGACAGGGCTTCCCAGAGCCCTCTGCACCATCTCCAGGAACAAGGACCCCAGAGGGGAGGGCAGCCACTGCGGTTCAGGTGGGAAGGCCTTGAGGCGCGGCAGATTCTGGCCAGCAAGGTGAGGTGGGGGCAGTGGGAGAGCCAGCTTGCCCCACTCCCCTCCCCCAGCTCCGTCTGGCTGCTGCCTCCCTGCTAAGGCCTTGCCAGCGCCAGGTCCGGGGCTCACCTGCGGGGGGCGGGGGGCTGGCTGCCAGGGCAGGTTTTCCTCCAGGGGAGGGAGGACTTCTGATGAACTGCTGGCACATGGGACAGGTGCCCCGAGAGGCTGCAGGCCTCAGCTGGGCACCTGTCGGGGGTGCTGCTGTGAGGGGCCTGCACCTGGCTTTCCCTCCAGTCTGGCGTTCTGTGCTTGAGGTGGCCAGCAGCCCCCCGGAGGAGGGTCAAGGGAGGGAACACCTACCGACTCCTCACTACAAGGCTCCTCACTCCACATCCATGGATGCAGCTGGAAGGAGGCAGGGGAGAGTCGGCTTCCAGAAGGTGGGGGGTGGGGGGGAGAAGGAGCCCGCAGAGCCGGCCCCTCCCCCACACACCACAGACCCTGACCACCCAGGTGAGGCTGCAGGGCCCAGAGCAAGGCGGCGGTGCCACCTCGGGCCCACCCCTCCAGCCCCTGCTGCCTGAAGCCACCAGCAGGGCTCCAAAATCCTGACTGGACAGGAGGACTGGGGGCTCCTTGGGGAGGCGGGGCTCAAATTCTAGGTAATCACGGTGTGCTCCTGGCTCCCCAGAAATCTGTCCTCTTGGGGCCGAGCATCAGAAAGTCCAGGATCCTGTGTGGGAGGGTCGGCCGGGAGGAAATCAGGGGGAAAGGGAGCAGGAAGGAAGATGCAAGAGGAAACTGCGCTGCCCCCTGTCCCTCTGCTGGATAAGAAGAGAGTTGGAACCAAGTAGCTGTTCCCCCGCCTTCTGAAGGTGGAAGGACATCCTCTGGGGTCTCCGGGGCCTGCCCACCCTTGTCCCCCCCAGCCTACCTCTTTTCATGGTGGGCCCCCCCCCCCAAGTCTCCTTCCTGCCCAGGCCCACCTGGTCCTGGCTTCCTTCCTCATCCATCCTGCCTCACAGGGGGTGTCCCTGGCCCACTTTCTGCTGGTGGGGGTCCCTGGCAAACTTGTCAGAGGAAGCCAGGCCTGCCTTTACCCAGAGGTCCCCCTGGCCCACCTTCTCCCTGGAGGGGTCCCCCTGCCCACCTTCTCCTCCAGAGGGGTCCCTTATCCTTGGCCCACCTTTTCTCTGGAGGGGTCCCTTTGCCCTCCTCATCCTTGGCCCACCTTCTCCCGGGCAACTCACCCCCCGCCCTCCCCCTCCCCTGGCCCTCCTCTTCCCCCAGAGGGGTCCCCCGGCCCTCCTCCTTCCCCGGAGAGACCCCCCCCGCCCACCTTCTCTCCAGGAGGGGTCCCCTGGCCCACCTTCTCCCCGGCAGGTCCCCCCGCCTTCCTCTTCCCCCGGAGGGGTCCCCCGGCCCACCGTTTCCCCGACAGGTACCCTCCTCTTCCCCCGGAGGGGTCCCCCGGCCCACCGTTTCCCGGGCAGGTCCCCCCGGCTCTCCTACTCTCCCAGAGAGGTCCCCTGGCCCACCTTCTCCCCGGCAGGTCCCCCCGGCCCTTCTCCTCCCCAGGAAGGGACCCCCAGGCCCACCTTCTCCCCGCGGTCGCCGGCCCGCCTTCCCTCGGCGGGAGCGGCGGCCCAGGCCGGCAGGCGGAGGCGGCGCCACCCGGGGCGCTGACGTAGAGGCCGCTCGGCGGCCGGGGGTCCCTTCGGTGGGGCCGCGGCTCCCCGCCCGCCGCCCCCGCGCGTCCATTCCCTTTTGTGTCCCGCGCGCGGCCCGGCCCCGCGCACACTCGCGCCCTGCGCCCCGGGGCCGGCGGGCGGCTCCCGGCGCGGCCCTGCTCCGCGCGCCCCGCTTTGTGTGGACGCGCCGGCCGGGTGCGCGCGGGCTGTCGTGCGCCCCCGGCCCCGTCCCGGCCCCGGCCCGGCGCGGCCCCCCGCCCGGCCCGCCCGGCCCGCCCGGCCCGACCCGGAGCGCAGCGCGGGCCGAGGGCGGGCGGGCGGCGCGCGAACATGGCGACGGTGCCCGTGTACTGCGTGTGCCGGCTCCCCTACGACGTTACCCGCTTCATGATCGAGTGCGACGCCTGCAAGGACTGGTTCCACGGCAGGTGAGCGCGCGGCCCGCGGGCCCGGCCCGGCCCCCCGGCCCCCGGCCCCCGGCCCCCCGGCCCGCCCGGCCCCCCGGCCCGGCCCGCGCCCCCCGGCCCCCCGGCCCGCCCGGCCCCCCGGCCCGCCGCGCGCCCGCCGCAGGCCCCCGCCGCCGCCGCCGCCGCCGCCGCCGCCGCTGCCGCCCGCCGGCCGCGCGCCCTTTTGTGCCCGGGGCGGGGGCCGGGCGGGCGGGCGCCCCTCGCGCGGCGCACAAAGCGGGCCCGGGGGCCGGGAGCCCGGGGAGTTGGGGCGCCTCGGGCCACACCGCTGACAGCGGGGCCGCGGGGAGGCCGGCTCCAGGCCCAGGCCCGGCCCGCCGCCTCCCCCGCGAAGTTGCAGGAACTTTCCCCGCGCGGGCCCCGGAGAGGCGCGAGCGGCGGCCCGGACGCCGGCGGGTCCGGCCAGGTTGGGGGGCGGCCGGCGCGCCCACCCTCCACCGCGGCCCCAGAGTCCCCTGACCCCGGCCGGCGCCCTCCAGCCCCCGCGGGGGTGGGTGACAGGACAGCGTCGTGCGGGTGGGGGTGTCGCGGCTTTGCCGCCTCCTCCCGGGGACCGGCGTGGTGCCCCGTTCCCCGCTTCTCCGCTCCCGACGGGGACGCCCCCCGGGCGCGACCTGACCTTATGCTCTCTGGGGGACGTGGGGTGGGGGGAGGTAAAACTGGGCCTTTGCCCCTGGCTGTGACCTGGCCCTGCGCCTAGTTTTCAAAGCGAGGCCCCTTCCCACCCAGAAGTAGATGGGAAGGAGGAAGACGAGGTGATTGCGGTGTCCAAACTGCTCCAACAGGTTCTCACGTGTTTGGGCCCCGCCGGCTGCGGCCTCAGACCCGCCAGGGGCAGGGCAGGGGCAGGAGGGGCGTGTGCGGTGGTGGCCGGTCCCTGATCCCCCAGAGAGGAGAGCCTCCCGCTCATCTTAAGGGTGGATGTTAGGGAGCCAGGCAGCCCGATGTGACAGGACCTGTTCAGGTTGGTCAGCACCGGGCCAGAGTCCCAGCCCCGTGCTTGTGACAGGGACTCACTCCAGGGTCAGGGACACCACTGAAGTCCCTTGGGCCTCCGGGGCTGCCTTCCTGCGGATGCCCAGGGCAGCGAGCGCCCCCCTCCCCCCCCCCCGGGGTGCAGACACAGGACTCTCCAGAACAGTGTTTATGTTGCTCTGCACACCCACCAACTGGCATCCTCTCCAAGTTCATGGCCAGACCAAGGGTGAAAGCTGCCATCTGATCCTTCAGGGCTCCTCAGTTCCAGACATGCTGAGAAGCTGACCCTGAGCGCCCTGGATGTGGAGGGCACTCTCCCTCCTCCCCCACCCGCCCAGGGCCTGCCCAGCTCCCTGGGTGCCCAGGCTTGGGGAAGGCCTGGAGGACCTTTGGCTGCCCAGGGGCCAAAGGTCGGGGAGGCGGAAGGCAGGCCAGTCCTGAGCTAGACTCTGAGATGGGAGAAGCCCCAGGAGTGAGGGACAGGCAGGGGAGAGGCTGAGGGCTAGCGTGCCTGGTGGGTGGCATTTGCTGGCCTGGCCAGGGCAGAGCTGGGGAGAGGGATGCGTCCTGACACCTTAAAGGGGACATTTGGGGACTCGTCTCTCCTCATTGCTCATTTCTCTCTAGAGGTCCTAGATTTGATCCAACGTGAGTACAGGTCCTTCCCTCAGCCCAGATTCATCTCCACCCACGCGGGGCTGGCATCTGAAAGGTGCTCTGCTTCTCCCCTGCCGTGGGCACCTTTTCTGTGCATCTGATCGAGGGCCCCTTGCAGGAGTGAGCCCTGAGCTGTAGCATCCCAGGTGGCTCAGGGCAGGTGCCGGGATGGGGAATGTAGGGTCAGGGGGTGGGCCTGGGCCATGTGGGGCACTCACAGCCCTGGGCACTCTTTCTCCCCACCCCTGCACGGACCCCCTCGGCTTTAACGGGAAGGTGTGTGCCGTGAGCCCTGTGCTTCCCCATCGCCAGGTACCTTTGGGCTGACCCAAGACTTTTCAGATCCACTACTCCCTGTACTCTTGTTTACTTTGTATTCAACAGCTCATTTTTAAAAAAAGTTTGAATACTTTATAACTTTTTATTTTAGAGAAGTTTAGACTTAAAGAGTTACAAAACTGGTTCAGTGTCGGTTCACGGGTCAGCCTGACTGCTCTGGAGTCAGCATCTTACCAGACTGTGCCGCCAGCATGGAAACTGAGGCAGAAACATGGGGGTGGTGCCGTGAACCAAACCGCGGGCCTCAGCAGGTTTTTCCCTGTACTGTCCTTTTTCTGCTCCAGGACCCTGCAGTGTATTTCACTCTCCTGACTGTTTCTTTCAGAAGGAAACCCCGTATCACTCCCTGAAATAGAACATTAGTATAACTTGTCGTCGACGGTACCTGTGAAAGTAAACATAACTGTTAAAGTCACAGGCTCCGTCTTGTCCCACCTGTGATCCGTCACATCCCTCTCCAGCACCTTGTTTTGGGCTGACCGGGAAGGGTCTCTGAGGCTGCGCACGCTCACAGTGGCCCAGGATTTGCTGGGAGGACTCTGGCGGGGTCAGGGGGTAAGGACGACATTGGGGCGGCCGCGTTCTAGGGGCAGCGTGTTTGCCCCTGAGCGGCGCTCTCTGCTGGGCCGGGCTGGAAGCACGGACACCCAGGAAAGCGGGAACCCGTGCTGCACCCCGTCTCCGGGGCTGGGGCACCTCAGCAGCCCGACTGGCCTTCACCGGCGCCCACGGTGACTTTGCTTCTGGAGGGATGGAGCGCGTGGCCAGCCACCCTCAGAGCTGTCTTGTGTGTGTGTCTGATAGGAAGCGTGGCACCCCATGGGCGCTGGGGGCCTTCCTCCTCAATTCAGGTGCTGCAGAGCCATTGGGGGGCCAGGCACCGGGTGGCCAGTGTCCTCCACCCCTGTCCACAAGGGGGTACAAGGCGGTTGCCTGGGCCAGTTGCTGTAGGAACCCAGCGTCTCGCCTCATCACCGGCCTGGTGTGACGAGTCTCTGTCCCGTGTCCTTTCAGTCGCCTGTTCTGTCGACTCAAAGGAGCTTGGAGGCGTCATGGGTAAAACGGATTTTAAGGAGCTCGAAAGCTGGAGGTGCAGCGCGAGTGCTTTGGTGACAGAAGTTTCGTTGACTTCTTGGTAGATGTTTCTGGGCGCGCGTTCTGCGTGGGATGCTGTGCTGGCTGCAGAGTTTCTTGGGGTCACAAGGCAGGTCCGTGTCCTCTTGCAGGGTTTCTTAGACCAGAGTCACACCTGTAGGTGAGGCGCTCTGTGCCAGCCTGGGGGGGCCTGTCCAGTCCCGAGCAGCACTGTGGGGGCAAGAGCGGGCAAGGAGGCATCAGGGACAGCCAGGGGTCTGTCCTGGAGGGGAGCGGAGGAGTGGGGGGGGGGGGGGGGGGGCTCCTTTGGCTGTTAGGGAGACACAGGGGATGAGGAAGGGGCCAGGAGCTGCTTCCAGGTGAGAGAGAGATGGTGCGTGGTGGGGGGGGGAGGGGCGGGGAGGACCCGAGGGATGGTTCCGGTGGGTTCTGGCACGGATCTCCCGGGTTCCTGCTTGTCCGTCTGTCCGACTGTGGTCCTCCTCGTAGGGACCCTGTCTCTGTTCTCACCTCCCCATCCTCCCACCCAGCCATAGCTTCTTGGGGCAGAGCCACGTCCGGGGGCACGGTCCCCGCGGGTGTCTGGTGACACTGAGCACGGCCAGTGGAATATGTGCGCACGGAGGGAAGGGAGGGCCTGCCAGGCATTGAGCTTCATTGTCGCGGCAATTAAGTCCTTGATCTGGGGATTCCCAAATACAGGGAAGGGACCATCCACGTGGAGATGGAGTCGAGGTGTGTTTGACACGTTTGGGCAGACGATTAATCATCTTGGAACAAGGGATTCTCTCTGTGCGAGTTTAAGAAGCTCCAAGCAGGTGGAGGCGGTGTCTTGCCAGCGTCTCGAGGGCAGAGCAGAGGCCCGTCCCTCGGTCCTAAGGGAGTGACACGGAGTCAGGTGCACTGTAACGGCCCGAAAGCGTGAGTTTTGGGAGGTGGCCGGCTGGAAGCGTGGGTGCTGCAAGCTCTGTCCCGGAGCCGCAGTCGTCGGGGTTGTGGGGACTCAGTCGGGCTGCAGGTGGCCAGATTGGAGGAGGGTTTGGGGGGCTTGGTGTGGGCCCAGCCCTCTTCCCGGGGGCTCCCTCTCCCCAGGAGCCATCCCCTTGTCTCTGTGCACATAGCACTTGGCCATGTGGCAGGACTTTATTCCAAAAGAACGAGGGACCTTGGGTGAGCGAGGGCCAGGACACAGTGCCCCTCGGTGGGGTGCACGGGGAGAGTCTAGCTGCTGCAGGACCGGGGCGGGGGAGCCAGGCCTCGGCTGCCTTCCGAGTGGCTGCTGCGGCTGCGGGTGACCCTCGCGCTGGTCTCTGTGGCGCCAGGGTTTTGTCTCTGTGGCTCCCACAGTGACCTGGCTGGTCGCTGGTCCGGCCACCTCACCCTCTCCCTTCAGGCGGAGAGGAGACCGCGGGCTCCTCACGCGAGGCCTGGGGACGCGCTCGGCCTCAGTGACTCTGGCTCCAGGACCCGAATGAACCCCAGGCACCGGCAACGCCATGCCTGTCGGTGGCTTTGCGGACACAGCGCGGATGGAATTGCTTGGGAGCCGGGAGCCCCTTGTGGCTTCAGGTGGGGACGCTGGGCTCTGTGCTGTGCCCTCTGCGTCTGGGCGCCCACCCAGCTGGGCCCCTTTCCCCCTCGCTCCATCTACTTTCCTGCCTTCCTTGGCCCCCAGCTTTTTGGTTTGGTGGTGGGTGACCCTAACCCTGCACTCTGTTCTCTTCCCCGAAAAGTGCTGGGTCATCTGCAGGAAAACAGAGTTCCAGCCAGTGATTGGCTTTGACCTCAGAGCGTGAGGCCTGAAGGTCCCTGTGGTGTTCCTCCTGGCAAACGGAGAAACCAGCCTTTTATCTTTTTTTAAAAGTTGGGAGTGAAATTCATATATCGTGGCA